TTCCACAGGGATCACCTGTTTCGGAGGAGGAAAATCGAAGGCTTGATTCTGAAAACACAGGGTTTCCTTTGATTTTCTGTTTTTTTGAAGAAAATGCGGTCGTGGAGACAGGTGGTCCCTGTGCCTGCACGGATCACACTCCCGCGTTGCCGCTTCTTTTCTTAGATAAACAAGTAATCATCAAAAGGGAACCTTGTGTTTTCACAGTCAAGCCTTTGATGTTCCTCCTCCGAAGCAGGTGGCCCCTGTGAAAACACATGGTTCCTGCTTGTGTTTTCATGACTCTCTAGTTTTTTTCCTGTCAGCTTCGTTGGAACATCAAGATCCCAACATCGCATAACAATTATAACAACCCCCTCAAAAAAACAACACAAAGCGGAAACCACAGAAAGCAGGTTTGATTTTGAAAACACATGGTTTTCTTCTATCTGTATTTGTTGTTTCCAAGGAAACGCGGTAGTGGAGACAGTTTTTTTTTTTTTTTTTTTTTTTTTTTTGTTTTTTGTTTTTTTTTTTTTTTTTTTCTGCGCAGGGATCACATGTCTATTTCAGCGTTTTTTTTTTTTTTTTTTTTTTTTTTTTTTTTTTTTTTTTTTTTTTTTTTTTTTTTTTTTTTTTTTTTTAAAAAAAGTATATATATATATATATATATCAAACAAATAATCCCCCCCCGAGAAAACCACTAACAATCAAAATGTTCCTTGTGTTTTCACAGTCAAGCCTTTGATTTCCCCCCTCCGAAGCAGGTGATCACTGTGGAAACACAGGCCACCTGCTTAGTTTTACGTTTCCCCACTTTTTTTTGGTTTTTGTTGTTGTTGTTGTTGTTGTTGTTGTTGTTGTTAGCCTTCCGCCTTGTTAAGGATTTTGGTATCTAGCCAGCTTGAAATCGCAATAGTCAGAAGCGAATTGTTCAGACAAAAAACTAAGGGAACTAATCAAACGGACAGGCAACACAACTAACACCGCAACGGCAGTAGCAAAGCGAAACGGAAGAACATAACGGCAGTAGCAAAGCGACACGGAGTAACAAAAAATGTATATATTGGGAGCACCTTGTCATATCTCTCTCTCTATATATATACACATGCATACGTATTTATATATATATATATACACGTGTATCTGTGTACGTATGTCTGTAGTTTGTTTGTCTGTCTGTCTGTCTGTCTGTCTGTATGTGTTTATGTATGTGTATGTGCATGCATGTACGGATGTATGCAACCATACACGTACGTGTGTACTGCTTATGTCGGTGAGTCTACATATGCACGTGGTTTTGCGTATGGATGGATGCATGTATGTATGCATGCGTGTGTGTATGTACGTATGCATGTATATGTCTATGTGTATGAATATGTGTATGTACATGTTAATGCATAAGTAAGTGTACATGTTTATGACCATATTTATAGATCTCCATATATATACATGTACGCAACTGTGTTTATGTTTATGCAGGTGTATATGTGCATGGTTGCTTGCGTTTTTTTTTTGCGTATGCAGATGATGATGCGTATGCACATATGTATATACGTATATACATAGGCATTTGTATCTATATTTGTAAAGGTATATGTATATGTATGTCTATATGTGTATGTCCATGTTTATGTAAATATATACGTGCACATACAGTTCGGGTGCTTATTGTGCGTGCGCACTTACGCTGGCGCGAGAAGAGGTCACACATAATGGTATATGATACCACCTGCAATCTGTTCCAAGGGTCCTCTGAGCTGTGAGCATGCCATCTGTTTACGGAGAGTTTTTCCCGTAACAAAAACAGGCAGGTGGGACATTCTGTTACACCGATCGGCTCCCTGGAGCCGCCCGATAGAGGCTTCCAAGACGTACCTCGCAGGCTCGACGACGGCCTCAGGCACGCCAGCTCTTCTCGCAGTCCAGAACAAGGGCCCTCACTTCTTCCATGCCCCTTTCCTCGTGCTCGTCGTCCCTCTTCTGCTCGTCGGCCTTCTCCCCACAGTTAAGGCCCATGCCAAGAAACACCCTGCTTGCATCCAGGGTGCCCTGGATTTCTTGGGTATCGATGGTTTTGCGATGGAAGGCGTGACGTTCCCACACGAAAAAACCATGGACATCCTGGTTTCTCAGGGTTGGGTTTCTTGTGGAAGGTTTCTTGTGGACTGGCCTCCACTGTACTGTCCTCCCCGTTGTCCTCCACGTTGTTATTTATTTTGCCTTTCCAGTTTTCCTGCCTGTCCTCCCTGTCCTCCCGCCCTGTCCTACTCGTTTTCGTCGTCTTCCCCACTCTCAATAGCTTGAACCTCTTCCTCCTCGTCATTCCCGCTCTCCTTCTCATACACGCACGCTGTCCTCTCGTCTTCCACGATGCCGTCCTCTTTCCCCTGGTCGATCTTGTCGTCTCCTCTTTTTCCTCTCGTGTGCGTTACCCTCTTCTTCATCCTCCTCGTCTTTGTGCATGTGTTCGATTCGCACCAGACAGTGACCGATGGTTTCACTTTACGAGGATCCCCAGGACGAGGACGAGGAGGAGGAAGAGGATGAGGAGGAGGAGGGGGAGGAGAAGGAGGCGGAGGAGGTCCCACGCCAAGAGGAGCACTGGGAGGAGGTTGACAACGTGGAGGGCAACGATCAGTGGGCGACATGGGTGGCAAGCTTTGACCTCGCAACAGCTGCGTCCGACTTGCTCTCGAGCGCCACACGGACAGGATCAGAGTCTCGATTTTTTGGTTCAAGCTCGCGCCAGGCTTTCTCAATCCTGCGCGCCACGTGCAGCCATCGCCCATTTTCCACACGAAGAGAGCCCCATGCTCTCTCATTCCGAGGTGGATGCGCTTCTGATCATCCCCGGGCTCCTGGGTATCCTGTGGTCTGCGAAGGAGTGGGCCGCCGTGAGCAAGGTGAAACTCGTTGGTCCAGATGGCATGGCCAGCAAGGATGCTGGCGGGGATACTGCGAAGATCTTGGACGAGATGAGCAAGATCGCGGCCACTATTTCGACGGGTGCCATCGACTTCCTCTTCACCGAGTATGTGTACATGGGCATCTACATCGTGGTCTTCGGCGCGATCTTGTGCTTCTTCACGGGCGTCCCTACCACCTGCGCGTTCGTGGTCGGCGCCATCACCTCCATCCTGTGCGGATACATTGGCATGAGGATCGCCGTGTACACGAACGTTCGGACCACGCACGAGTGCTGGAGCACCATGGCGAAAGGCTACGCTGTCGCGATCCAGGGCGGCAGCGTGATGGGCTTGTCCCTGGTGGCCCTTGGGCTCCTGGCCCTTGTGGGGATCATCAAGACTTTTACGATGATCTTCGCGTTCGAGTCCCCGGAGGCGATGTACGAGGCCATCGCGGGGTACGGCCTCGGCGGCTCGTCCATCGCGCTCTTCGGGCGCGTGGGCGGCGGGATCTACACCAAGGCCGCAGACGTGGGCGCCGACTTGTCTGGCAAGAACGAGTATGGCCTGGAGGAGGACGACTACCGCAACCCGGCATGCATCGCGGACAACGTCGGCGACAATGTAGGTGACATTGCAGGCATGGGCGCCGACCTCTTCGGCTCCTTTGCGGAGGCCACATGTGCTGCGCTGGTGCTGGCTGCGGGATCGGAGCTGCGCAAGGACTACGCATCCCAGATGTACCCAGTGCTCGTGTCGTCCACGGGAATCGTCGTGGGCATCGTCACCCTCGTGTTGTGCAACATGCTCTTCAAGATCAAGGAGCTTGAGGAGGACAAGAAGGGGAAATCCGTGGAGAATGGCCTCAAGGGCATTCTGGTCGTGAGCACCTTCCTGATGTCGCCGGTCGTGATCTGGCTGTCCAAGTCGTGCCTTCCGGCCACGTTCACGATGGGCGATCAAGACGTGAAGTGGTGGCACTGTGCTGTGGCCATCAATCTGGGTCTCTGGTCTGGACTGCTCATTGGCTTCGTCACGGAGTACTACACGTCCGGCAGCTACGAGCCCGTGAAGGAGATTGCCAACAGCCAGATCCAGTCCGCGGCCACCGGCATCATCTACGGCTTGGCGCTCGGCTACTTGTCGTGCATCATCCCTGTGCTCTGCCTGGGGATCACCGTCCTCGTCGCTCACACCCTCTGCGGCATGTTCGGCGTGGCGCTCGGCGCGCTGGGTATGCTGGGCACTATGACCATGGCCCTCACCATCGACGCCTACGGCCCCATCTCCGACAACGCAGGCGGCATCGCCGAGATGAGCGGGCTGCCCGAGCAGGTCCGCGCGAAGACGGATTGCCTTGACGCCGCTGGGAACACCACCGCGGCCATCGGCAAAGGCTTCGCCATCGGCTCTGCCGCGCTCGTGAGCCTGGCCCTGTTCGCCGCCTTCTGCCAGCGTGCCGAGGTCGACACCGTGGACGTCCTGAACCCGTGGGTCTTCACCGGCCTCCTGTTCGGCGCCATGATCCCGTACGCGTTCGCGGCCATGACGATGAAGTCCGTGGGCAAGGCGGCGAACGAGATGTACGAGGAGTGCATGACGCAGTTCCCGAAGATCATGGCGCCCGTGGGCTCGCCAATGCACGCGGAGCCCGACTACAAGAAGTGCATCAGGATCTCCACCGAGGCGTCCCTCAAGGAGATGATCGCCCCTGGCCTCCTGGTAATTCTCAGCCCGCTGGTGGCCGGCATCGGCTTCGGCAAGAACGCGTGCGCGGGGCTCCTTTCTGGCGCTCTGGTGTCCAGCGTGCAGCTGGCCATCTCCATGAGCAACACCGGCGGCGCCTGGGACAACTCGAAAAAGTACATCTCGGCTGGCCTGCTGCAAGACAAGAAGACCGGCAAGATCCACGCCAAGGGCTCCGACGCGCACAAGAACTCCGTGACCGGAGACACGGTGGGTGACCCCCTGAAGGACACGTCCGGCCCCGCGCTCAACATCGTCATGAAGCTGACGGCCATCCTCAGCCTCGTCTTCGGAAGCGCCATCAACACGTACTCCAACAAGAACGGTGGCCCCATCTGGCTCAAGGCGTGAGCGAAACCTGCGAAGGCTCGCGCTCTCTCGTGGATAGCCCAGAACTTTGTTTACCAGCCGCGATGGCCTCATAGGCTTTGGTCGCTGCCCCCACGATGGTGGAAGACAGATCGAGGCCGGAGCGGTACGAGCGAAGCATCCTTTTTCTCGCCGTGATTCCGAAGGGGAGACACCGGCAGCAGCACCGAGGCGCCTCGGTTGCTCATCTTTTCACGGCGCCGCTAGGCAGTCGCAAGGGGGCCCGCGGCGTGGTCCCCGACGGTGGCGCCGCGGGCTCCGTTTTGGCGACAGCATCTGCAGCTGGGCGGGCCGCTCCGGGTGCACAGCACTTCAGACGGGCGGCCGTCGCGCTCGGAACAAATGAGGGTCTCTCGACGGCCCGAGATGGCCAGAGGCCCCCTGAGATTCTGAGGTGGGCGTCAAGGCGGTCCCCGAGGGCTTCAAGATGACCCAGCAGGCTCTCAGAGAGGCCCCAAGATCCCCCCAGAAGCCTTTAGGAGGGCCCCTAGAGAGCCCCAAGATGGCGAGAGTGTGAACATCTTCCATGTTCATTGGTATGCCCAGGTTGCTGTGCTACATGTATGATCGACACACGGAATTCATATATGTTGGGCTTAGGCTAATTCCGATAACGCCTCGGAGGATTCTCAGAGGCCCCAAGACGCCCCTACACGCCCAAGAGGCCCCCAGCGAGCTCCCGCCAAGATGCCCCCCAGAGGCCCCAAAGACGTTCCAAGGCACACCCACGAGGCCCAATGGACCTTTCGTAGCCCATAGAGACTGCCAGGAGGCCACAAGAGGTCCCGAAGAGGCTTCGAAGAGGCCACCCAGGAGGCTCCCCGAAGTAGCGGAGAGGACAAAGTCGTGCAACAACTAATCGTTTCTGTAAAATTATGTCATAGGCCATAATCTCTTTACTTGTCTTCGGAGCGTCCCAAACAGCCCACGAGGCTTGCCAGACTGCCTCAACACGCCCCGAAGACCTCAGAGTTTTCCAAGAGGCTACCACGATGCCCCCAGACCTTCCTGCGACAACTTCAGTTTGAACGGCACTGGGGCGGCCTTGGGACACATGAACCATGGGCGGTTCAGGGGAGGACCCGGAGGAGAGGCCGCTCAGATATCTTCCTGGTGATTTGCTGGGAGTGTCAGAGCAGCCCTTGCGCTGGGATGATGATGATGATGATTATGATGGTGGTGGTGGTGATGACGACGATGATGTGGATGCTGCTGCTGATTATGATGCTGCTGATGATGCTCATGGTGGTGATGATGATGATGCTGATGCTGCTGATGATGAGTATTATGATAATGCTGATGATGATGCTGATGATGCTGATGGTGATGATGCTGACGATGATGCTGATGATGCTGGTGGTGATGATGATGCTGATTATGATGCTGATAATGATGATGCTGATGGTGATGATGCTGCTGCTGATGATGACGATGATGATCATGATGATGTTGATGCTGCTGATGATGATGCTGCTGCTGATGATGATGATGATTCTGATGATATTGATATTGATGCTGATGATGGTGATGGTGAAGGTGATGATGATGATGATGATGATGATGATGATGATGATGATGATGGTGATGCTGCTGCTGCTGCTGATGATGATGATGATGCTGAGGAGGAGGAGGAGGAGGAGGAGGAGGAGGAGGAGGAGGAGGAGGAGGAGGAGGAGGAGGAGGAGGAGGAGGAGTAGGAGGAGGAGGAGGAGGAGGAGGAGGAGGAGGGGGGTAGATACCCCTTGCTTTGCGGTCCGGAGCACGTGAAGACTGGGCGTTGCGTGGTTTGCCCTGTTTGTCGGTCGCGAAGCTTCTGCTGTTTCGTTCTGCCCGCCCCGGAGGTGCTGCCAGCGCCACGGGGGGCGGGTGCGCCCGCCCCCCCCCCCCCCCCGTTTCAGCGCTGGGACGAGCGTGCGAATGTCCACTCTTCGACGCATAATGAAGCGGCTAAGAGAAGGAAACCCTGGGATACACCCTGAGGGGGCTATTCGGACGCACCCCTGTCGAGGATGGACCGTATCCCAGGGTTGGGTCCAAATTTTTTGGTCCATCCGAAAAGCTCACGAAGCCTGGGATAGGGGTCGACATATCCCCTGCAAAACGAGCATTCACCGCGTGTCAGCTTCAGGCATCGCCATGTTCAAACTCCGACGAGCTTAGCTACAGCGCGCCATTCTTAGTACTATTCAAGTGGCTTGGGTCATTCTGCCGACCCCACAGAATAGCAGCGGGTGAGGCGTTTGAGAGTCTTTTGGGGACCGCTTCCGGGCATCTTTGGCGCCCTCGCTCTTGGCGCCACCTGGCGGTTTCGTGGGTTCTCTGTCCTCGGGGGGTCGGCTCGAACTGTCAGTTCGAGTTTCCGCTCTTCGGCTCCTCTTGAGGTCCTGTTTGCGGTTTCTATAGTCGTCTTGATTGCGCGTTTCTTCAGCGGCATAGTGACCGTCTTGGGGCCGTCTTGGACCGCCATGAGGGGGAAGGGGGAAAAACTCGAAATGCTTGGGTCATTCTGCCGACCCCACAGAATAGCAGCGGGTGAGGCGTTTGAGAGTCTTTTGGGGACCGCTTCCGGGCATCTTTGGCGCCCTCGCTCTTGGCGCCACCTGGCGGTTTCGTGGGTTCTCTGTCCTCGGGGGGTCGGCTCGAACTGTCAGTTCGAGTTTCCGCTCTTCGGCTCCTCTTGAGGTCCTGTTTGCGGTTTCTATAGTCGTCTTGATTGCGCGTTTCTTCAGCGGCATAGTGACCGTCTTGGGGCCGTCTTGGACCGCCATGAGGGGGAAGGGGGAAAAACTCGAAATGCTTGGGTCATTCTGCCGACCCCACAGAATAGCAGCGGGTGAGGCGTTTGAGAGTCTTTTGGGGACCGCTTCCGGGCATCTTTGGCGCCCTCGCTCTTGGCGCCACCTGGCGGTTTCGTGGGTTCTCTGTCCTCGGGGGGTCGGCTCGAACTGTCAGTTCGAGTTTCCGCTCTTCGGCTCCTCTTGAGGTCCTGTTTGCGGTTTCTATAGTCGTCTTGATTGCGCGTTTCTTCAGCGGCATAGTGACCGTCTTGGGGCCGTCTTGGACCGCCATGAGGGTGAAGGGGGAAAAACTCGAAATGCTTGGGTCATTCTGCCGACCCCACAGAATAGCAGCGGGTGAGGCGTTTGAGAGTCTTTTGGGGACCGCTTCCGGGCATCTTTGGCGCCCTCGCTCTTGGCGCCACCTGGCGGTTTCGTGGGTTCTCTGTCCTCGGGGGGTCGGCTCGAACTGTCAGTTCGAGTTTCCGCTCTTCGGCTCCTCTTGAGGTCCTGTTTGCGGTTTCTATAGTCGTCTTGATTGCGCGTTTCTTCAGCGGCATAGTGACCGTCTTGGGGCCGTCTTGGACCGCCATGAGGGGGAAGGGGGAAAAACTCGAAATGTCAGTTCGCATTTCCCCTCACAGGCCCCTCTTAGGGCCCTCCTGGGGCTCTATTTGGCCGTCTCGGGGGCCCATGGTGCCGTCTTGGGTTCTGGGGGTGTCTTGGGGCTCTGCTGGGGGCCTCACGGGCCACCCTGGGACGATCTTTGGGGGCCCTTGGGCCGTCTCGGATTTTTACAAGGCGCAAAAGGCGAGTATGTGTTTTTTTCCATCGCGGAATGGGGCGATTTTTGCGACTTCTTGGGGCCCTCTCAGCAGCCCTCTGGGAGCACTCTTGGGCCGTCCTGGGGCCTCGTGGACCGTTCCGAAGCCATCTTCGACCATCGCGGGGCTACCCTTGGCCGTATCGACGCTCTCTTGGACTAGTTTGGCGCTCTGTTTTGGTCCCTCGGGGCCTGTTGGGGCTTTTCTGGGGCTCCAATTTTAAACAAAGGCGAGCAAAGCGAGCGAACCGCCGACGTTGTGGCTTAAAACGGCGCGCAGCAAGATTTTCCTAGACAGCTTCGCTGTTTAGTATCGTGTGAGAAATCGTTCATGGTATTTTGAAATTCACCCACTCACATCACCTGGTTCATGTCCCTTCTCGCCATTCCTTACCTATGCTACGTCATGGCCGAGATATGAGGATCACTCAAGACGGTCAACGTATAACGGCTTACCATGTCACTTTCGACGTGGTGGCGGAGCTGACCTCAATCGTGTGGCTGGCTCTGACTCTTGGTACCGGTATTCCACTGAACAGTTTGGTGGATCACAAATATTGTGGTTCCTAATGCGCCAATGTTCCTTCGTGGGACCGACGCAGGCCACTGGCTTACCTGTGATGATAGACCCGTGGACGGCCACGACGATGACATTTTGTACGCCACGGCTTCACACCACGTCTCTCCCAACCATCACCAACAGCCGATTAGCACCAAGTCTCGTTACATTGCTATCTTACGTGGCTTGATGGCACAGTGCGGCCAGGTGCGACGCGGATACAGATCTCTTGCGCCCATTCGGAAGCTGACGGCCACGCCATGTCCAGGAAAAGAAGACCACGCCAGTGACCAAGACTTAACCATGTATCACATCTCAATCACGATTGTCGTCGGTCTTGCAGTCAGGTACATGCAGCGGGAATGGGACGATGCCCGTACCAGAGGACTTACACTGGACCCCGCAGGCAACGTATATTTTCGCGGGATCGTCCGCGAAGTTCGCGCACAAGCAAGCCGCTGCGCTGCAGCGCTGCCTGGGTGGTCTCGCAAGAACCATTGCGATGAGGGTGCCGTCCCGCATCATCAACTTTGGTGTGACCAACCAAGATCAACGCACTAACGCAGTTACATGCATCATGTTCCTTCTCGGTGCCGACTTGGAGAACTCAACGGGAGAAAGACAAAGTATGTCTGGCACGGTCTTTATCGACTTCCGTGTTGAGTGTGGAGAGCGAATCGAGGCGGTCTTACGGCCCAGCTGGAAGCTGACTCAGATGGCTTCAACCAACAAGCAAGGCCTGGCGCTCATCCTATTCTGGGAGTTTGGAGGTGGCACGTCCAGGGCTTCACAGCTTGAAATTGCTCAACCACCTGATGTCCCGTGCCAAGTGACACCGCGACCAACTGCTGGAGCGCGTGCGCGGCAATGGCGCGCAGCTGAGCGCGCCCCTCGCACGATCGGGGGCATCTTCAATGGGCGCGGAAACAAACCAGGTACATTCCACGCCGTCACCGGCATGGCGCAAGTCGGTGCGGGGCCACCTGCAGCTGGCTATATCTGGGGTGACGCGCACCCCTCAGAGGCCACAGCGCTATTTGCCCAGGATGTGGGCGGCGCGCAGTCGAGCGGATCCACCTGGGCGCGAGCCCCATGCCAAAAGCGGCCTTTGCCCTCGATGACGTTCTCTCCTGCCTGCGTCATATTATCACTCATCCGCCCGCCGCTGCTGGCGCTTGGCTCAAGAGCTCTTATGCCCTCGACGGAGGTGGTGGGTGAGACTGATTTCGGAGCGCGCGCTGCGCCGCAGCCT